GCTGCCCAGGTTCTTGATTGGTCAGGAAGCCAGGCAGCCTCTAAAGCCGGTGTTCTTTCGCAAGAACACCGGCTTCACAGGCAATCAGAAAGACGGGCGCCATCCGACTTCCTGATAATCAGGGCACAATCAACCGGTACTCGGTATCAGCGAGTAGCAGGAAAAAAATATCGCTACTCGTACTCGATACTGAAGAGAAGGTATAGGTGCATTCCTAATTATATATATATATACATACACACACTGTATGTGTGCATGGTACTGGGGAATGGTTTATATGTGGAACACTTGGCACTTTGTATAAGATTTGCATGATGGCTTGATGAAGGGTTGATGTCTATGACCTGAATATGTTGCTGTTGTTCTTGAATTAAAGGAGAACTATGGGGTAAGTGTTTTTCCCCATAGTTCTCCTAAGGGTCATGGGAGCACATAAACTAGCGTCCTCCCATGACCCAAAGCTCAGTATACCGTGAGCTACAGCTCGGGGTATACTGAGACTGCCGCAGCCGGGACGGATCCCGACATTACTGTTGAGATCCACCCAACTGAGTGATTGACAGCTGGCTCTGCTGTACCCGCCCCCTCCCCCGTTCCCTCAGTCAGCGCTGAGGGATCAGATAGGATGGGGGATCCCTGCAGGATCGAGAAGTGAGCGAGCGACGGTATGTGTTCGCTCACTTCCGGATCTATTGAGCCGATGTGTGACAGTTTCATTGTCACACGTCGGCTCCAACTATGAGGATGAGTAAAAATCACTCACCTCATAGTTCTCCTTCAAAGCATTCAACTTTGTAACCGTTTTGCAAAATAAATAAAGCATTGTTGTATTTTCACCCAGCAAACCTTTATTAGATCAAACAACAGATAAAGGATCACTCCAATCAACATTAAACATTTCTTACCTCTGCACTGCAACGGTTAAGTGCTCATTTTTTCCAGGGAGCTGAAATAACAAAGTTATACTCACCCGAAACACAATCCCCGCTGGCTCCTACACCGCTCCCTCCAGCCTGTCTCCTCCTCCGCTCCAGCGATGGAGTCCTCATGTCCTGTACATTGTATAGGATGCAATGACTCACTGAACCTCAGACCGCTGGAGCAGAGGGGGAGTGAGGCTGAAGGGACTGGTCTAAGAGCAAGCCGGGATTGCAGTTCGGGTGAGTATATCTCTGTTATTTTAGCTCCCTAGACAAAATGAGTACTTAACTCTTGCAGTGCAGGGGTAGGCCCAATGCAAGGGTTAAGATGTTATCTGCCCGGTTCTCCTTACTGATTCCACCTGGATCTGATCTTTATAAGTACAGTGCAAAGGAATGTTTTGTATTCTTTGTGATCAGAAATAATCTTTCTGATTCAATAAACTCTTCCTGATCCACAAATCAGTGATTGCTTCAAATAAGACTGTTACTGAGAAATCACGCTGCTAACAAACGCTGGTTTTCTTCCACATTCTCATTTTCCAACTTATAGTACATCTGATTAAAGTACAAAATAACAATATATTCAATGCTCAACGTGATACTAAAATAATGACGAGCAAAACTGTAAATTCTCTATCAGATAACAAATATTCATACAACATATTTGGATGCCTAATAATAAAAATGATTGGTCAGATTTAAGTGACTATAAAGTTACAATCAGTGTTTTAATATCATTTCATTAGGAAAACGAATTGCTATTTTATTTTCATTGTCTAACAAACATTTTGTAGTACTCCTTTGAAATAAAACATGTTCTTGTCAGCCAATCAGGCTCTACCGCACTGCAGAGTGCTACCAATCCAAACAACAGGAGAGAGCAGAGTGAACAAAGTGATGACCATAATAGATAGACAGACAGACAGAGAGAGAGACAGAGACAGAGACAGAGAGAGAGAGAGAGAGAGAGAGAGAGAGAGAGAGATAGATAGATACCAGTAGGGAAGAGGTACTCACAGCATATTTAAATAGGAGCAAGGAAAAATTGAAGAAATTGCTATTTTATTGCAATATTTACACAATGATATTGCAATAGTTTTTTTAAATTAATCAATAAAATTACAATTCATTAATTAATCTTTATTCCCACGGAAATATTCTGCAAATGCCTCCTCTTGCTAGTCTACATTTTTTCCCAATTTTCAGCATATACAGGTTCTTTGCCTGTATGCATCTCATCTGTGTGCCAGAACTCACCCCTTGGATAGTATATATATATTAGGGATGCACCAATACCGTTTTTTCGGTGTCGAGTACCGATATTTTTTTTTCTGTGCTCGCCGATACCGAATACCAATACCGGAAGTCCCATTAAGGAAGACAGGCGGCGTGTAAAGACTCGTCGACCGGCTTCCCGATTAGCAGGGGAGCTGTCTCAATGCCCCCTCATCACCAGGTGATGAGGAAGCATGGAGCCAGCTTTCTGGCCAATCAGGAAGCCGGCGCGCCATGTAATGACTCATTGCCCGGCTTCCTGATTGGTTGAGAAGTTGGCCAATCAGGAAGCTGGGCAACGAGTCATTACACGGCGTCCAGCTTCCTTAAGGCCGGGAAGCCGGATCCATGCTCGCTTGTCATCAGGTGACGAGGGAGCATGAAGCCAGCTTTCTGGCCAATCAGAAAGCTGGGGGGGGGGAGGCCAGCTTCCCGACCAATAAGGAAGCTAGGAGGTGAGTCATTACTGCCTGCCTGGCCATGCAGGAAGCCAGGCAGCATGTAATGAGTCGCTGTCTGGCTTCCTGATACCAGAAGCTTAGGTATCGGGCTAGGCATTGGAGCATTTGGGCGAGTAAGAGTACTCGCCAAAATTCTCGGCATCGGCACTGATACTAGTATCGTGCATCCCCAATATATATATATATGCAGCCACCCTGCTGTCACGCAGCCTCTTCTGCTAAATTTTCCTACTTGGCCGGTGCGCCCCCTATCTGTCTAGGCAGTGTACTGATGAATGAATGACTCAATGAAAGCACTCTGCAAAGCTGGCCACACACCGGATTCCACTAGCATGGTTTATACCAGTGTCCACCCCTCTGACACATTTCACCCATTCTCGGGCTTAGTCGTAGACACTAACTGCCACTAAGGGCAAGTTCACAATGACCTTATAATAATGGGCCGTTCAAAAATATATATGAATCACATATGGCTATGTAGCACATTGCCACCCCTGACAAGGAGACACAAGCTGACTGCACTTCCAACTTGCTCAGGCAACAAAAAGAATAAATGGAGTCTACATTTGTCTGTGTGTGTTGATGGCTATCATAGTGTAACACTATGAGGGACTATTAACAGAGCTGTGTGAGTCGATTGTTCACGCTGAAAGATATGCTCATGGTAGGATTAATGTAGGGTGCAAGCGCACAGGCGTGCAATACACTGCAATTTTCATCGTATTTTATGTTGTACGCACATAAACTTTTGTACTAACCTGTGCATGCGCAAAGCATAAATTCCAACATGAACAATATGCAGGCAGCAGCGCAGACACAGAAGGACCTCAGCCTTCATTTATTCTAGAAGGGTTCATTCTGCGCCTCCACTGATACACTTCTGATGCTTACATCTTCCCTTGCACGAGTCACTCATGTGGAGCAGGCACAGAATAACCCTGGCCTTCAGTCATTCAGATTGAATATGGCCGAAGTCATCCTGCGCCAGCACTGCCAAGGCATGAATGACTCATTTAGGGGGAGATGTAAACAATAGTGTGTAATCAGCAGCGGCGGTGCAAAATGTAGGCATCTCATGGGAACATAAACGGGTATATGGCTGTATGAGTTTAGATGCAGTACAAACAAGGTTTTATGCAGATTTATAACTTGCTGCCAGCCAGCTGGATTAATCTAATATGGCCGTGTGCATGCGGCACCATACTTGTTTCATTTTTTAGTGCCCTGAGATGCCATTGGGATGTGCGGGATCCCTTGTGTGTTCCTGTGCCTTTAAGGAGGCTGGGCTTCCTCCTGACAAACCTGCACCCAATTTGATATCTTCTGCCCCCATGTGCTCCAAGATGGAGCCTCTCATAGTTTAGAGTTAGGACCGCACTATAAGAGGTGCCTTGGCACGGCAGTGCGGCTTTCACATTTTCTGCAGAAGACGTGTATCCAAACCTCTGTTATTAACCTTAGTGGTGAGACAAGTTTTTTTACATGCTGACTTGTGAGTGTGCCATGATGCCTTTCTACTGTTTACTGAGATAGACTTTCACCCAGTGCCATAAATGTTTCCTTGCCTAAACCTGTAGTTATTTGGGGCACTGGCTTAGTCTATTCCAAAGCAGGCTTCTGCAGTTCCAGTTATTTTTAGAGCGACCATGTTCAACAAGGGTACTTTCTACCTTCCTCAGTTCCTCAGGAGTGCCTCGATATTTTGAAGGAGGAACTCTAATGTGAAAGGCTGAGGGGGATTCTGATATGAAAAGGGGGCTCTGATGTAAAGGGGAAACTCTGTTGTGAAGGGGTGGCTTGTGAAATGTAAATGGGGGCTCAGATTTGAAGAAGGCTTCCTAATGTAAAGGGGGGCTGTAATGTGAAAGGTGTAATTCTTAGTGAAAAAGGGGGGGTTCTGGTGTAAAGGGGGGGCTTCTGATGTGAACAGGGGGGCTTCTGATGTGAAGAAGACTCCTGATGTGAAGGGGGGGGGGGCTTGTGATGTGAAAAGGGGGGCTCTAATTTGAAGGGGGGGTGTCCCTTATGTTAAGGGGGGCTCCAATGTACAGAGGAACTCTACTGTGAAAGGCTGGATTCTTAAATGAAAGAGGGGCTCTGATGTGAAGGGTGAAAGCCCCCTTTTTTGTGTGATTTTGCATGGGGTTCCTCCTTAAAATCCATACCAGATCCCTATCTGGGATAAGGGTCTGGCATAGATTTCGGAGTGGCCACAAATTCTTGGTTACACTTGTTCACATTTTAGATTGGGGTGCATACTTTTTAAGGGTGCCATGACTGAAATAAGGTAGTAGGTCGCTGCTTTAGAGGCTGAATTGAACTTTCTAGTTCCAAGTGAAAGCTGACAACATAAGAAGCATGCTGGAATTTCTGAGAACCGAGCTGTTGCTCCAGGGCATCTTCACATTCCAGATGCGGTTTAATGTTTATTAAACTTCTGCCACCATTAGTAATTATTACTGGAGGTAGCCGAGTAGCCTCTCTGTGTACACAGCAGGGATAAAGGACACTTCAAACAGCAACCTCAGCATCATTCCCTTCAGAAGAGACTGAGTGAGTCATTGTCTGCGGACTCATTTTCTTTAATGTAGCGGAGGATGTCTGACTCGTCCATGGCCTGTGCGCTGGGCTGAGAGTCCACCTGTGCCAGGTTGTTGTCTGGTTTCTTCGTCTCCTTCAGAAAACTGGGTTTGGCCGGCACTTTCGGCTTCGGTTTGATCTTTGGCTTCACTCCAAGATTCAAGAGGTTCTCAAAGTCTTCTTCAACTCTGTGCCCATGGAAATAAAGAGAAACGTGATTTAGCAATGGAAATATCTGATACAATACCTAAAGACTTTATAACTTATTGGAAACATTTGTATGTAACTTACATTTTTATCTAATCCCATCTTGGGACCCTTTTCCTGTTCATGAAGGATACAGCTAAGGGGCTTTTTTTATGAAAAGCATGCCAACAAGAACATTGCTTTTTGACCTTCCTTCCTTGACCAATCAGATCCTCGTGTCGTAGAACTCTGCATTTCAGAAAGGACAGTTGATAGCAGACTGGTTGCTATGGGCTGAAAGATATTTTCTTTTTGGTATACTTTTTCATACAAAACCCTTTAGTAGCCCCAGAATCTGACACGGTAAGGACAGGATCTACAGGGTGTAGGAACCACAACCAAGGCCAACTCTCATCATGCTGCAGGTTGAAGGCACTTTCACCTTAAAGCGTAGCTAAATATATTGCAGTCTACCAATCCTTAAATATGCTGGCTGCATTAGTTTTTATTTTTTTCAGGAGTAATTTCCTATAGTGATCCGGCCAGTAACACACTTCCTGTCTTAGGGAGGCTCCAATCTATGGAGGTGCAGACTTTCTAGAAAATGGACAGCTATACTCCACCCTGGAGCTAGAGCCACAACACCTCACTTCTACTCATGCTAACACGAGGACATTGCACTCCCCAGCCAGTTTCTCCTCATTGTGAGAGTTAAAATCACTAGTAGGCATTTGTGAAAGAGGCAGCTTCCCCAACTAATGAGCATGTGTGGGATCTTGTAAGAGAGCCCTTGGTTACTAACAGCTTTCTCATGCTCCAGTCCCAACTGGGAACACAAGATTGTAGCACCCATCCTTGGATATTTCACTTAATTTAGACCATCAGTAGTACATCCAAAGAAACTAGTTACTTGATTTTGAAGGCACTACGGTGGATAACATTGCATTGGTGTCTTTGGCTTGTGCCAGTACTTGGCTTGACACTCAGTACTAGAGAGGAGTCTGGGCTTGGTGTAAATCTAGTTTGCCCAAGCCTGCTCAACACAGTGACCACCAGTCCCCTTTACCTCCCCAATCAGTGGTGGCAGTTGCAGCGGGGGGCAACCCCTTCCCCTTTGTGATGTATATCTACAGGGCGGAGCACCACTTTTCGACTGATTGGGCCGGGAGGTGTGGCAGTCACAGTTACGAGCAGGCTTGGGCGAACTCAGGCGAACTGGGTACTGAGACTCATCTCTAGTACTCAGTATCATGCCAAGTATTGGCACAAGCCAAAGCCAGCAACGATTTGTTATCCACCATAGTGCCTTGCAAATTCGATAACCAGTTTCTTTGGATCTGCTGTAGTTTAAATAAGGGGAAATATCCAAGGATGGGTGTTGCAATCTTGTGTTCCCAGTTGTGACTGGAGGAGAAAGCTCTCTTACAAGATTACACACATCCTCAAGGGTGTTGGTGAAGCTGCCTCTTGCACAAATGACCACTAGTGATTTTAGCTCTCACAATGAGCTAAACCTGGCTGGGGAGTGCGGTGTCCTATTACTATCATGAGTACAAGGTGGGTGGTGTGGCTGCAGCTCCAGCTTGAGACTTAGATGTCCGTTTTTGAGAAAGTCAACACTTGCTTCCAAACTGAGGCCATCTAGTAACGAGTATAAAGCCAAATATTGGCACAAACCAAATGCACCTATGAAATGTTATCCAGCATAGTGCCTTGTAAATCCGGTAACCACCAAGACAAGACTCATCACTACTCAGTACATAGTTACATAGTATTTGAGGTTGAATAAAGACATAAGTCCAACCTATTGGGTGTGTGTGTATGTATAGGTCCCTGTGTCATCTCATTCTTAAGAGTACCTGTACCCCTGTACATTACGGTCTCTCAGGAAATCGTCCAAAAGCTTCTTGAATGATTCCAGACTATTTGCTGAAATCACTGCCTGTGTCAGAGAGTTCCAGACCCTAACCGCTCGAACTGAGAAGAACCCCCTTCGCCCCTTGTGTTTGAATTTTTTTTCTACCAATTTTAGGTGGTGGCCTCTGGTCTTTGCTACGGAATTAATCTTAAAGAGTTTGTTGCTAATGTTGCTATGATCATTGAACATCTTGTACATGAAAATCATATCCCCCCTTCTCCTCACCTCCAGCGTGAACATATTTAAATTTAGTAGCCGTGTCTCATAGTTCTGGTCCTCCATCCCCTTGATGAGTTTGGTCGCCCTTCGCTGGACTTTCTCCAGCTCAAGGACATCCTTTCTGTGTACCGGTGCCCAAAAATGCACCGCATACTCCAGGTGTGGCCGAACCAGTGATGTGTAGAGTGGCAAAATTATAGACTTGTCCCTGCAAAACATTCCCTTCTTGATACAGGACAGGATTCTGCTTGCTTTGCTTACAGCAACCTGGCACTGTAATCTATTATTTAGTTTGTGGTCTACAATGACCCCCAAATCTTTCTCCATTTCCGACTTCCCTTAGGGCATACCCATAATTGTATAACCCATTTGCCTATTTTTAATCCCAAAGTGCATAACTTTGCATTTATCGACATTAAACCTCATCTGCCACATACCATAAGTTACCATAAGTAATGATTATAATGGAGAAAATCTTTACTGATAATACAGGTCCACTTTAATAGGCCACCGTGTACGGATTGGCCCAGCTCATCTACACATCATGAATTTATCTCTGAAAGATTACACATTTCAACAAAGGCATCGAATCATGGCTTTTCTTCACCACGGCAACATGGCGGTTTCTCATTAGATTGCCGCCTTCCAGCAAAGTATCTCTCATTAAAACGTGCCTCTCTTTTTATGACACCGATATCCAGCCCATTATACAAGTTTTACAATAACAAGCTGCGTGCCCAAAAGGCTGTCAAGATCACCGAGGATTTAGATGACGGCATTTCTTAAACAGTTTGTACTAATACACAATGTTCATTTCGTTACTTCGGTTCATGTCCAAGAGTCTCACTGGAATGGTGACAAAAATGTACTTAACAGGGACAAATCTACAGCATTAGTCTGGACTCTGTGGAGTCTGTTAATGGTACGCTTCGGTCAAATATGAAAGATTTGCCTTTAAAGTGACTCGGGGCATTGCTCACCTGCTGAGCGACTCTAATCTTTATCCTAACATTCATCTGGTGTGCATGGCATTCCACCTCAATAAATACACTCGCGTGCCAGTATTCCGGAATGGCCCAAAATCTGCGCCCTTGTACGCGTAGGTCAGTGTGTTCACTGGTTCCAGAACTATCCTCTTTTTTGAGCGCACATTAAAACACACCTATGCACACTGGATAACAGCTAGTAATCATATAACAAGAGGCTCTAACCCATCCAACACCCCTGTGAGAAGCCTGCGGAGTCTTAGATTGATAAAACTCAGGTATTTTTATACATAGTTTTTTTTCATTGAATGTAACTTGCACTATTAAGTCAAACAACCACATGAACTGCCACTACTGCCAAGGAATCACACCCATGGCAAGTTGCTAACTGGAAGCGAGATCTTTGTTTGGTGGAGGAATGAAGAGAGAGCTTCCTTTGGGGAGGTAACACAGGGCCATGAAAAAGTTATCACTTAGAGTGCAATACCGCTGATCGCAACTGGGAGGCGACTCACCCAAATCTAGCACCCAGCCTGCAATACCTCTGACCCCCACTGGGGGTGACTCACCCAAATCTAGCTGGCTTCATACACACAACCTGCAATACCTCTGACCCGCACTGGGGGAGACTCATCCAAATCTAGCTGGCTTCATACACACAACCTGCAATACCTCTGACCCGCACTGGGGGAGACTCATCCAAATCTAGCTGGCTTCATACACACAACCTGCAATACCTCTGGACACGAATGGGGGACAACTCCCTCAAATGGACCTTACACTGTCGGAGCAGT